AAAACACAGGATTATGTGTTAGAGGGTCAATCACTGGGGGATCTCTCTCTGGGCTGCTGCTGCAAAAGATACAGAGACGAACTCAATCGGGGAGATGCCAAGCCTATTTCAAACACTCCAGGAAATTACATCATGAAGTTTTTTTGCATATATAATTTATGAAGTCTCCAAATAAAAATCTATGGGAAAATACTGGATGTATCCTTCATTCTATAAAACCTTCTGAGAGAATGACAGAGTGACAGCTGATTCTTTAATCTAACTTGGCAAAGACCAGACCGATGGTAATCTCCTTCCTGCCTGTATTTTACTAACCCCAAGCAAAACAAGGTTTTCCATGCTTTTGGATTTGTTCTTCCTGTGTTCTAGCTTCCCCAGGCCCTAAACATGTGCAGACACCTGGCTTGCTAACAGAAGAGAACGAGCAGGGCGGTGGCTGGGGTGGGGGGTTGGGTAGGCGGGGGATGGAAGGCAGGGGAAAGGAGAGGACAGGATCACTTCTGCTTGGGACTCCGCTGTCTGTGTGACAGTGTGCTGTTAGCTGGTTCTGTGACTGGCCTGTGGCAATGGAGAAGGTCCTCAGCAAGGATCTGGTATCCCTGACTTTGAGGAAACACTGAGAACTAGATCGGCTCCCTTGTAAATCCAGATTCTTCCGGGTAGGACTCAATATATTGTACTGAGTTTCTAGTGTGCTCAAGTAGCACAGCCAAGAGTACTTGATAAACTTTTTAATTACAGTTCCTGTTTCAGCACCTTCCACTGCCCGGAGCAGTCATGTTCCTGAAGGATGGTATTTCACACAGGAATTACCGAAGCCCAATAGGAAACTGTAAACGAGGGTGTACGTCTAGGACCTGCCTCTGACCGCAACAGCATTTGGGTGGGTTTTGCAAAATTCCAAACACCCTGAACTGTTCGAATGAAAATGGACAAGAATGTACAGTTGTTATTTGTTTTCTTTGACTTTATTAGCACACATCAGAAAAATAGCATTGTATTTAGTGATTTCTCATGAGGGTCTATCAAACAGATAGAAAACAGATCACTGGTAGCTGCCACGGAAATTTCTGGGTAATCTGAGGTCCTAACTTCTCTCTCTCCATTTCAAGTATGGGTATTACAAATAGGACCTGCTTAGTTAACTGTTTGTCAATCTGAATGCTTTGGAAGCACTTTGAGATCCCAAAATGAGCTGGCGAAGTCATGATCGCTTGTTGACTTTTCATCAAGCTCAAAATACTGCCTGTGTTATAAATGGCGAGACTTTTCAAAATAGGTTCACTATTGTGAGCTATACGCCTATAATTTAGGTTAAAAACTTTATTTTCAAGTACACTTGGTGGGGATAAGTGGTTTATTCTGGGTAGGATTTTACAAAGCTGTGCCAACCTAAAAAACCAAACCAAACCAAACCAAAAACCACACAATGCTTTCCTTTTCATCCAACAGGTTTTTCCTCCCCCTGGCGGTTGCTTTAGAATTTGAATTTACATCCTCGAACCGATGGTGGGGCTCTGATAAAGGGAGACTTGGGAACAACTGGTGTTCAGATCATTGTTAGTCCACATTAACCTTGAACTTATGCCTCCTGAACTTGCACTTCACATCAGAGAAGCACTAATTTGGTATTTTTATCTTGGTTGGTCCCCATTTAGCTCCTCTAGCTGTCTTCTCTATTTGATGGCACCCCCCCCCTTCCATATGCTCATTGAGGTCCCCTGAGATGTGCAAAATATATAAAATGGAATACAAAGTATTTAACAGAACACAGCTCTTTTAATTAAAATGACGTTTGGGCTCGGGATGCTAGCATGTGAGTGAAGGCAGAGAGGCCCAAAGTACTTCAAAGCTGGCACTGTCCAAATTTGTTGTGTGTCTTCAGTTACTGAAAACCTAGAATTTCCACATCGGATTCTGACAGAACTAAAGAGCTTGCCAAATTATGTTTACCGATCGGCTTGGCTCTTCCTCCCGGGGGAGAACTCTTAGCAGGAGTGGGGGTGCGTTTGGGGGCAGTGGGGAAAGACCAGAGATTCCAACTTCCTTTCGTTGGTAACAAAATCAAGTGTGCTTTCGTGGGAAAGAGAGGAGAGACAGGTTTACATCTGAAAGCGCAATAATGCCGTGAAACCAAACCACGGCCATGAAGAAGTCACGAGTCTACAGGGGCAGTCACTGACACACACACGGAACGCCATGGCCTCATGTCTACGGAGGTTTTCAACTTTGCTTTTCTGAACAATACACTTTAAACACACTGCTGCCATTTCATCAAATTTATGGAGGTAGTTATATGTAAAAAACAAAAATTGCCATAAAGTAATATGCTGCATCATAATAATACATAAGTGTGCAAAATGCCGACAGACGGGTTGACCCTTTAGAGTTGAACGCTACACAGAGATTCAAGCAGACTCAGTTCTGTAAACCTTTCAGCTGATAAACTCTAAGTGAAGACTAGATCAGCAGCCACGTCACACAAAGCTCTATCAGTTCAGGGGAGGACAAGGACGCTGGCAAAGCTTGGCGTGGGCTGAGGGTTTGGTCACTGAGAAGCTCGCCCGCCGTCCAGAGGACCGTCTCGGGTCACATCTGTAACAACGCTTCCTGCCGCCATGCCTCCCCCATCCAGAACTCCTCATGAAATGCAGACGGGGACACTTCCAAACGGAACGTCTGCTTACATCGTAACATCTTTAAAGCCCATCTTGTCTACGCTAATGGCTCCAGGTCTAAGGGAGTCGTTGTTGTTTTTGAAATCATGTACCCCATAGCATCGGGCAAATGGTATACACGTTTTATTTGAATCATGTCTTCTGTAAACCTATTTCTTGTGGAATACTGATAAATTCCTATTTTAAAGCTTCTCTTAAAGGTAATGCTTTCCTTTCCGGTCCACACTGCGTTTGATTACTATAATGGCTACTTTCAGAGGATCAACAAGAGGCTGATGTATTGTTTGAATGGTTACGTTATTTATGAACTGATGGTACGATTCGACACTCAAGAGCAGGTTTTTTGGAAAAAAAGGAATTTAGACAGGAGAATTTGGTAACCGTATGGTATATAACTCCCCAGGGAAACAGACTGTGTGTGTAGTCTATTAGTTACATTATCATTCCTCCTGGACATATTTAAGCAATGAGACAAATAGTGCATTTCTGGGTAATCGGGGCATGCCTTGGAGGAAATAAGGCATGAGACTGAAAGCCAACTGACTTAAAGCATTTTAGTGGGATGGGGGTTTACCAAGAAATGTGCTTACGTTTCATTCTAAGCACAAAAAAAAAGGAATCTAGACTAAACTTGAGGAGTCCAGTTTGACCTAATGCGATTTCCACATATCTGAAAAAGCATGAGAGACCATCCACATGCTTCAACAATTGGTCCAATTATGTGTCGGAGTGCATTCTTTAAACAGATCCCTAGTGATTAAGCCTATACTGAAGCAGAAATGTTGCACACATTTTTTTTTTGCCAATTACTGTAGTCTGAGGTGGAAAGAGTTTAGATCTATTTTTGGATATATATTTTATTATATGGCTCCAAACAGCACATGCCACTGAACTAAACTTTTGGTCAGTCCATTTGCTTGAGTCATATGCAACCCTTCTGCAAGTAATTTGTCATTATCGACACATTTAGTCCATTGTTCTCATAGAATAAAATGGGGAGTTTTGAAATGTCTCTTTTCTGTAAAGTTGAAGCTCAAGATTATTGGTAATCCCTATGCTGCTGAGTCTTCTTTGTATTCAACAAGACATTGTAAACCAAAGCAACGTGTTAACAAACCATTTTGAAATAAGTTGGGCTAGGAACTATACATCCACCTAAAAAAACGCCTCCTGAAATTGGTTACAAAGTATCTGTAAACATTACTCTGGCATAGTTCATGTATGCATAATTGTTACTCTGATAAATTTTAGGGGAGTACAAGTTCGGATTATACCATACTTGCAGAATGAGCACATTCTGTTGGTAATTACATGGGCACATGTAAATTTCTAATCAAAAATTATTTTAAAGTTTTCTCTATAGATATCTTTCCAGGAATAAAAGGCCTGAAGTTCAACTCTCCCTAACTTTGCTCTTTCCTATAACCACTAAAAATGATCTCCCATAGCCTAATTTAGGCATTCTATTTAAAACTACATAAAATAGATTAATGTCCTTCCATTAGAAAGAATAACATCCCCAGGCCATACTCTTCATTTGTATCACAAAGAACATTTTGCTTTTAAACAAACTAATCATTGTATCTATTATAGTAAGATAGGATCATCATAAGGATCACAAGGAGGAAATTATCTTCCTTAAATATTTGACTGACACCGTTAGAGAGTCCACATTTCCCCTCTTCCATCCCTCAGTGCCGTGCCCCAGCCAGGCTGGGGATCCCCTTCCTTCGCCCACTTCAGAATCAAAGGCCTATATTCCTGTTCATGATTATGGAAGGTTAAAAATCAGACAAGCATCTGTTTCACTTAAAAACAAAATCCTGAAAAAAAAAAAAATACTCCCAGAATTTCGATCACGACCCCTTCTGACACACTTCCACGGGCTCCTGCAAAAAACTGTGTCATGAAAACTCACAGTGAAAAATGACGGGTGCATAAACAATTCACACACAAAGGGCTGGGGTCCCTTCCGGTCAGTTTGACATTGATCTCCCTCAAGCTGGACCCTGGCATTGGACATTTTGTGGTGCTTACGCTTTTTTTTGTCTTTTTTTTTGTTTGTTTGTTTGTTTTTGGGAAGTGTCAAGGATCAGTTCCGTGGCACCCTCCAACCACAGACTGGGAGCAACACGCATCTGTGGCATATAAAAATGGAACTGGCAACTTCATGACATTGGAATGCATACCACACTTACAGTGTCTAGACTTTCCTATGTGTGCTCAGTTACAAGTAGTGAAACAAACGTATACATATCACCCCTACTGCTATTTGGTTGCTACAGAGCCATAAATGTGAAAAGCAATACTCTGAAATAAAGATTTTTGTTTTTTGTTTTTTGTTTTTTTTGCCCTAGCCTACTTAGCAGCACAGTTTAAGTAAACACAAAAACTGTGGTCGAGATGCTTGTCTTTCCCCAGATGTAAACATCAGTCCCAGTGTCGTAAACTTGGCTGTTATCGAATGAGACAGGAGATCGGAGACAGTACGACTGTCACACACTAGTAACAGAAGCTTGCAAGCAGTTGGAAGGTTTCTGTAATTTCTCAGCTTCGTTGGTTGCGGGGTCCGTGCTCGCTCGGAAGTTGAAGGCCGGGCCAGCTCCGCCGTGGACTGGGCTCAAGGTAGCGTTCTGACGCCGGTTACTTTCAACAATGCTGGACGTGTTGGAAGCCAGGCTCTCCCGAGTGCTAAAAGAGTAAAAAGGGTTTGTTTTGTTTTGTTTTCAACATAAATAATTATCTCTTGAGCCCCAGAGGAAGAGCAAATGATGTGGTTAATGGATTTCCTCTGTTGGCTCATGATGTCATATATACACCGTCTCCCACTGATTATTCACATATGCTTGTCCAACGTGGGCTCCAGAAACTCTCACACACGTTACAATCCACGGCACCCTGAATAACGGGTTTTCATCCAGCTAAGTGCACTTTAAATGTTTTCCCCTTCCTTCCCCATTCAAGGAAACCACTTCCAAATTTGATGGGATCGATCACTATCACGTTCATTTTAGGAAAGAATCCTCTTAAATACACATATGCGATGATTGTATTTCAGGCTGGAAATTCACTGAATAAATGAATAAACTCAATTTTGCCCCTAATGATTCTGTTTTCATTCCTGATTAGCAGATTTTGACTTCGGTGGACTTCAAGGCATACCATTAGCTAATTTGGCACTCTGATGGGAATAAAATTCTTCTTAAAACACTTCACGCCTCTGTTTCAAATGTTAACACTTTCATGGAAATACATTGTATTTCCAGATCAGGAATCTTAGATTTCCCCCATTCATTTGTGAAGTTTACATCCCCTCCCCCCACTTTGGTAGCAATATTTTATTTTTCAAGGCTTCTTATGGACAGAGGTGATTTAAAGGTATTTCTACTTCTAATTTTTAAAGTTAGAACTTCTTGAATCTTGATTCAGAGCATTAACATTTTAAATGTGTAGGGCAATAGCAGAAATAAGGTTACTTAGCCTGATGGATAGGAACTGGACAGGTTCTATATTCAAAGTCCTCAAAATAGGAATAAGAAACTTAAGTTTACAAAGATACTGAACAAACCACAAGGATGCTCAAAACATCCATTCACCCGACTGGGCAGATTCAGAGTTTAGAAAATACTCTATGGGAGTTGGCCCCCCATTGCTGATTTCAGCCTGCTGAAACTAGTCGGCAGGTCAGACTGCTTCAACGGACATCCTCACTACCTCTCCGTCATTCCCACACTAAATTAACAGCCATTTTGTCTGAACCCCGCATAGATTTTTTTCCCACTATCGGAGTGCAGGGTGTTCATATGAAATCTTCTGTAAGCCTAAACGTCAGGAAGGGTTTACACGTGCTTTCCAAACGCTCGCCATTAATGCCCTTCGCTGTTACAGAAGACCCACATTAGTACCTGTTTTTGCTGAGTGTAAGAAATCCAAAGATTTTTGCTTTCACGAAGAAAGCTGTTACTAACATAGGGTCTTTTGTAAAAGTGAAGGGATCTTAACACAAAGTTTCAGAAAGCAGGGATGCTTGTACTGTGTTTGGCGGCACTTCCTAGATAGTGGATTATTTCATCCTAACCCTTGTGGCCTTGAGTGTGACAAGAGGTAGTTGTTTAAAAGGAAGTTTCGTCATCAACGACCAAAAAGACAACTGGATCTTTCTTGACTGCAAAGGGCACCTCTAGAAGGTTAATATGTTCACTAAAATAAGTCAAGTTCTTTCATTGTGCTTACGGTAGATCTGAGCATACCTACAGAATACCCCAGAACATCACCACTAAAGCGATGTTAAGTGTTAGACTCACCTACTTACCTGCCTTACCCTTTCCCTAAGAAAATTCATCAGGGGCTTGCCAGCACCTTTGCTGGGGCCTAGGGTCGGGCAGAGGAAGGAAGAAGGCAATCGACACAGAGAACCCCAAAGATATAGTGACACGTTCCTTCAGTTTCACTCTTAACTGCGAGAGTAACATTTTACAGTATTCAATATCCCCATCTCTAAAATGAGGAGGGTTAGGGGATTAACCTACTCACAGAGTGACTGTGAAGAAGTGAGCGTCGATGAATCTGTACGCTAAAAAGCTAGATACATTATAATTATTTCTGTTGTACATCTGGCATCTAATGAATGAAGCAGCTACTATGACTTGGTTTCAGAATGCCTTTGTTACTAGTGACCCCTTTTCTATGGAAAAATGCATTTTAAGGTCCAAAGGCCCTTAAACACGCTTAAGCCTTTGAAATCAGCTTTCAAGGCAGGGTTTGCACTCATCAGGCACCTGCTGTATGCCAGGCACTGGGCGAGGCACTGTGCACACACATCACTGCTAAAGACCATCTAAGCTGGGAGCTGTCTGTGCTCGAAGATGCCTCTGACCACCTCTGGGCAGAGTCATTCATAGTGAGGAATAGATACAGCACACCAGTTTCTCCAAACGGTATATATTTTGTTACTGCTGTAATAATGAAAGCAGGGTGCCACGCTCCTAACGAGGGCTCTGGGTTTGATGAAAAAGCTAATGGAGATAGAGCATTAGCAGTAGAAATAGTCCTCCCATTTAAAAGTTCTTGATCTTTGTTGGAAAAGAAACCCCATGGAATAAGAGGACAGGATTTTAGAAGCAGAAGTGAACAGATCAGGTATGGGGCTCCTCCTCCTGGATGCGCGTGCCTCCCTCGGCCCTGCGCTCCGATAGCACATGCTCGCACCCTACGAAGCGGGCACATCCCTGGCCGCTCTGCACCCTCGGATTTTCACACTGTGTTTGTCAGCCTGTTTTTGGCCTCAGATTTGGAATCGCAGGTTTTTTAGGTTAAGAGTTTTCATGTTCAATATCCGATCTCAGAGCAGAATTGAAGCTTCTACCTTTTTTCCTTCTAAAATCCCTTGCAGTCCCAACAAAAGGGACTGAAGAATTTTGGGAATGTGGCTGAACACGACTTCTGAGCTAGCATGGAAAGCTCGGAGTGTGGGGATCACCTTTCTTGTTCTTTGTTGTTGTTATCGGATCTTAGTTGCTCAGTGGAGGAGGTACTAAAAGACTCAAATAAATGACCCACTTAAAGTTTCTGTATCTTACGGCAGTGGAGACGTACCAGCCTGATAATGCTACTTGGCTAAAATCCTCCTCGTGCTGGAGAATAAAACTCCCTAGAACTCAAATATTCTCCTCCAGAAACCACGATCATGCATCAGAAAACAACTTAGTTGATTAACTGAGGTGTGCCGAAAATACGGTTTAAGATGGCTGTGACCTACTTTCTAACCATAGGATATTAAATGCGGAAGAGACAAAATTAGGAATTATTCTGTAGATTATCTAACTGCATGAAATTTATGGGCCACCTATGTATTCCTACGGAGAAAATTCTACCTAACAGTAGTGGAGAGACATGTAGCTAAGTGGGAGAAAGTTGTCCTCTCAGAACCATCGTACCTCTTACCGTGACAAAACATTTAACCTTAAGTACCTTATTAAATATATGAAAATAAACTCACTTCCAGAAATAATCTCATTCATAAATTCTATATTACTCTGCCCCTCGAATTTAGAGATAAAACAATACATTCTGTGGCAAGACTCGTTCAACGATCTCATGAGTGTTTGTGTTTATTTGCCCCCAAACAAACCAAAAAACCTTTCAATATTCTGTGGTGGTAGGCTGTTGAGTTAGAACCCATTAAACTACTCTCAATGTCTCTGTAGCAGTTATGTCTGGAGGACAGCATTCTGCCCTCTGTGGTGGTGCTGGGGCCAAGGGGCACCACGCAAGTTCAGAAACCAATGTGTAAAGCAGGAGGGAGGCAGAGTCTACATAGTAAAAAACAGCTGAACATAAGGTACAGGCAGATAAACCACACCTTCCATAAGCCATGGCTTTGAACTTCTACCATCAATTACAGACCTTCGATCATGCCTCCCTGGTAGCCACTGTTAGAAATTCAAGAGGAAAAAAAAAGAGCAGAAGAGGGAAATAGAAAGAAAAGGAGATATAAAATAATTGGTAAATAAATTAAAATTTGATTGTAGAAAAGTCACTCGATAGGCCAGTCATTTTCGGATGGAGGGCCATGGCTCCCTGAGGTCAGTTAGGGCTCCATGAGGGAAAGGCAGAGGAGACTTGGGGCTCCTGGCCTCACACCCACTTTAAGCAGAGCACTATCTCTGGTTTGTTTGGACATTAGAATTCCACACATGTGTTAACTTAGATAAAAAGGTTACATGGCAAAAATAATCCTCATCATAATAAAAAAACTAGCCCTTTAAGAAATAACAAAGGCCGAATATGGGGCCGATTAGAGATTCCCAATTCTGATCTGGGGATGTGCTGTCCGCAAATTATCTAGAGATAAAGTGAAATGATCACAACAGAACTAAGTTTCATTCTTAATAATTAAAATAAATGAAGTTCATCATCGTATCTGGGTACTTGTTAAAATGATCAATATCGCAGAATCTTGGGAATCGCAGCTAATGAGAAATGTCCACCTCTCAGTAGTATTTCTGCATCTCAGAGTCACCAATCTGGAGTAGAATTTAGAAGGAGAATTAGGTCCCGAGTTACCCTTGGAGAAGAAGGAAGAGTTAAGGAGGAAATAAAAGGAAGTTGCATAGACTCTCTTTTGCTTTCTTAACCCCTGAACCACTTCAGTGCGCTGGACATGACTGTTAGGCATCGCGTGCACTCTGTTAATCCTCTCTGAATTACCAGCTATGATTAGAGGGCCTTAATGGTCTGTATCAATGCTGCAGGAGGAGAGAGAAAAGTGTGGGCACACACTCTGATCTAAGGGAACAGAGGCTCCTCACTGTTCTGTGAAAGACACAAGACTCTATTTCTATGTGGACGTGAAGTGAAAAGCAGGTGGGGGAGGGAGCACACAGGGTCGGGATTAGAAGGGCAACTAGCATCTAGCTCCCCGAGGAGGGTGCTGAGATCTGCTCCTCCCACTAGAAGGACCCTCTCCTTGAGCCAAGAGATTTATACCCAAGACCTACCCAAACCCCAGGTGACTACTGACTGACTACTCATTCTACTCAAGAAATTATTATTTTTGAGGACCTAAAAAAAAACAACAAACCCTCCTTTTATCTGCACGGCGCTAACAGAAACATAGAAAAAAATCCTGGAAAATGTTTGTCCTAGTTAGATTGGCCTGATGCCAGTTTGAGGGAGGGAGCCAACCCACCAGTCCAGATTGGTGATCTCTACAGCTGCAGAAACATTTGTTTCAATTCCTGAAAAAGAAGTCAGAAACAGGTTGTTAACAGCGCAACTCACACAACCCTTAACCCGCATTCACAGAATTAAAACGGTGACATCGGAAGCTTTTCAAGTCATTTATATAAAGCCCCGGGCCCCGGTGGGTGTGTGCGTGCACGCACGCGCGTGAGTGTGTGCGTGTGCGCGCAAGCAGCGATGTTTCTCCTTACCGTGGGGAGTTGAATCCACTGTCCACAGTGATGCTGCTGCTGTCCATGCTGTCGAGGCGTGCTGAATGGGTGGCTCTCTGGTTGCTGCTGCTGTCGGTTTCTTTTGGGGCCAGGAGGGTGAGGTTCTTCTCAAACTTCCTCTGCAAGTCTCTTTCCTTCTCCCTCTCAAGGAGCCACTGCATGGTGCCTACATCATCTCTGTTTTTTTCCTCTTCCGTGTTTTTGTTGGCCCCTTCCTCAGAGTCGTCATCGTCGGAGACGTTGTAATAGTCGAAAGAGGCTTCCTGGTTCCCCCCCGACTCCTGCTGACGCTGGGAACCGGGCATCGCTGGTGCCACCGAGGTTCCCAGGGATGGCTCCAGTTTCTCACATCGGCCTGGCAGTGTGTCGGCAGGGGTCTTCGGGAGAGATTTGAGGAGGGACAGGCTCGATTTGTGATAGCTGTTGACAGACAAGGTGCTGTGAAGAGGTTTGAACAGTGTGTCTTTGCTGAATATCTCTTTCCTCTTGTCCAGGCTGCTGGGCTCAGTGCTGTGGTGCTGGACGAGGCGTCCATTGGCCATCCCTTCTGCCCCTGTGCCCGAAGCGGCTGGTCCCCCACCTGGCCCTTTTGGTGACTCCTCCTTGTGCCCTACGGGCTCTCTGGAAGAATGTGGGGCCTGCCTGTCGGGCAGAGGTAGCTTTTTCACCCCTTCCACCAGAGTCAGAGTGTCATGATCCTCTTTGTTTTTTCCCAGAGGTGACGGCGCTGTGAGGACCGTCTCACTGGAGGTGTTGCACTGGAAATAGTCATCTGTAGCTGTTTTTGTGGGACAGGATGGCAAACTTTCAGGGGGTTTGCCTGGCTCCAAAAGGCTACAAGCACTGGAAGGCTCCTTGCTGCCACCGACTATTTCTGGAATACACACCTCTTTATAGCTCGTGGATGAAACATGAGCCCTCTGATGACCAATTGTTTGCGCAGGCCTTAAAGTACTGTCGTCAATGTAGGACTGGCTGGGGGTTTGGTCATCTTGGCTACAGCCTTCAGCCAGGTCTTCAGGTGTCCCTAGAGAAGAAGCACCCAGAGGGCCCTTTGAGTTATCCATCGATCTGGATCTCTCCTTGGCTTTGCTGGGTCTCTCATTCCTAGACCTTCGGTCCTGGGTATGGCTGTGGCTTCGGTGCACCTTTGAGTGGGAGCTTCCCCTGGAAGGTTCAGGAAAAGGCATCTCAGTTCTCCTTTTGGCCAATTCCCCAGACACATCCCATTCTGGGGTCATGGGGAAATGAGACTCGATCACGTTCGTGTTGCTATGCATGATGAAGTTATCTCCTTTGTGTTCAATGATGAAGCAGCCCTCCCTGGGTGCCCTGGTAAGAGGATCACAAAAGTCATACTCTCTGTCACCTGGGAGATCCAGATGAGAACCATCCGAAGGGTCTCCTTTAGACACTCGTGTCTTGCTGTGTGACCGAGATTTTCCATGGGACTTTCGATGAGTCCTACTCTTTTTACTTCTTCCACTGTGATGGGCAGAGGACCCAGCTTTACTCCTATGCGCTTTTTCTTCTTCTAGTTTCTTCATTAGTGCAGTGTGCCTCATGACATTTTCCACGGTCAAGTCCGGGTTAATGCGCCTAATGATTTCCATTTCCACTTCCCTGGGGATGGTAGTTGGCGTGTCTTCATCTCGCAGGGGCCACTCCTCAGGAGGAAACTGGGCCGAGAAATTGGCTAGTTGTTTGGTCTTATCTTTTTTAAAACTCAGCCGGAATAATTTGAGCCCGAATTTTTTGGACTGCTTTTCACCATCTTTAGGTTTTGAGAGAGTTTCTGTCTTATAAGAAAAGTTTACAGTACTTTTGCTCTTTTCAGTGGGTGGCACCTGGCATAGTGAGGGAGGGCAATAGGGGTCTTTGCAGTCCTTGGCGGGTTTCCTCTGCAGAGTGGAAGCAAGCATGCTGTGCATGTCTTCTCTGCAGCAGTGGCAAGAGTCGCAGTGGTTTCTCGGTAACGTTCTTTCCCTGACGCAGCCTGAGGCAGAGGGCGTTATGGTTCCCGGTTGCGGAGAGGTACACTGAGACCTGTCAGGTATCCTCTCATCCAAATGGTACCATTTACTGTTAGTTCTTATGAGAGAGGGAGTAATGAAATAAGTCTGTGGGGTCACGATGAAATAGCCATCCGGAGTTGGGTAGATCTTCCGCTCCCGCACCAGCGTGTTCAACGTGTGCCGTAGAATTTCTTGACTTGGGGTGGGAACACCTGAAACCAAAGGAATAAAGACTCTTAAGAACAGAGAGGGAACCTGCTGCTGCTTCCTGATTTTTTCTGAATCTACTATGGACTGAATGTTTGGACCCCCACCCCCAATATTCCTGCGTGTGAATCTTAATCCCTGATGTAAGGGTACCAGGAGGTAGGGTCTTTGGAAGGTGACTAGGCTTAGATGGGCTCCTGAGGGCGAGGCCCTCAGGATGTACCTTCGTAAGAAGAGGAAGAAGTGAGAGCCCCCTCCTCTTGCCATGTCTTCAAGCCAGCAAGACAGTCCTCACCAAACACCAAATCTGCTGGTGCCTTGATCTCAGAGCTCCTAGCCTTCCAGGACTCTGAGAATTAAATGTCTGTGGCTTCAGCCCAACCCCCCTCCCCCCAGTCTATGGCATTTTGTTACAGCAGCCCAAACTAAGACAAAATCCTACCAATTTTGCCAAGCTTCCGAGTACTATCACATGGCAAGTCAGCAGGACCCGGAGGTGCTCAGGAAGAGAGATGGAAGCAGGTGCAGTGAGACTGGTACTTTTGTCACGAACCTTTACTGAACTGAGCCATCAAAGGCAGAGTGTTTTTAAAGGAGGGGAAAATGAAAAATGTTTTACATGATGTAATATACGTTTACCAAAAAAAGACTTCCTCGATAGAAAAAAATTAGGGAAACTGGGTTGAAATAGCTGTCTTGGCACTTGAAAATAATCAGAACATGTACAGAGCCTAGTGTATACCCTGGAAGCTACACTACACACTCATTTTTCAAGACTAAGCTTACTTAATAAACTTAATTTTGTAAGTTACATAAAAGGGCAATTAGACGTGACCATGGCTCATGAAGCACCCTCCAATTCTGAAACCATGACCTTTGGTTTTGAAAAGGACAACAGGGTCGGTCAGGTTTAAGTGAGAACATTCTCCTTCTCAGACTGGGTCTGTAGGAAGGAGGTTACCTCATAACCCAAAGGCCCTAAGAAATACACCTGTGGAAATTTAGATGCTCTATGTCCATCTGGTCACTGCCAAATATGCCATATTCACTAGTATAGAAATTCCAGAAGAAAGTGACAGACACTTCCTGGTACCAGGACTGATACTGTTTTCAGAGGTCTTTGTGTGCATAGCCCTTTGTGTGTTTATGCCTTGTCTTTCTTAAAGGACAGAATCAAGAGTCCAGATTCATTAGAGAGTATAAACTTTCCAGACTGCAGAGCATTCATGTATTTCTAGCGCATTCTCCATCCCTCAATGCCAGGCCCACAGAGTGTGATAGTACTAACTGATTTGACCTGCATGCCAAAGTTTGGAAATGGGTCAGGTTGAATCATACTGCCAATGTTCAACTGTGTCTCACCCACAAATGACAATTACATGTGACTAAGCCTAACATAGTTAGGGCAACGGAATGTGGAGACCAAAAGCCTGGAGCCCAGGGCCACGTGGCTAGATTCAAACTCCAGCTCCATCGCGATGAGCTGGTGGTAGTGGTTGAATTAGGCAGCCTCCCCTGCCCACACCCTTCCTGTGTTTATACCTAATGCCCCAAACCTCAGAATGGGACCTTGCTTGGAGACAGGGCCTTTGTAGAGATAAACAAGTTAAAATGAGGTCATCGGCGTGGGCTCTTCTCCATCATGACCAATGTCCTCCTACAAAGAGGAAAGTGGGCAGAAGCACATGCACAGAGAGAAGACAATGTGAAGAAGCATTGGTCGAAGATGTCCATCCACCAGCCAAGGAGTGTGGTCTGGAGCAGTGTCTACCCTCAACAGACCTCGGAAGGAACCAGCCAACTGTGCTGATATCTTGATTTTGTAGTTCTAGTCTCCTGAACTGTAAGACAATAAATTTCTGGTGTTTATGCCCCCTGTACCTTGTTAGGCTGTGCTAGAAAACGCATACAGTAGTTATCGCCTTAGGCAACTTAACTAACCTGAGCCTCTGCTCACGGTCATCAGAATGTGGGTGACAGCAGGTACCCTCACAGGGTAGTTCTGAGTTTAAAGGAGTTTAATGTATGGACAGCAGTACCTGACATATAGTGCGGGCTCTAGAAACATTAGCTAGTAATCGTCTCAACTTTGGGGCAGGACCCATGGAAACCAGATTACCTTCAGAGAACATCATGTAGCAACCTAGAAGAGCAGGGCAAACTCAGTTTGCCACAATCCTTCCAAAACTACAAAAGTGGGATATGAAAACATGAGTAATGGCCCGGGAGAGCGTCCCATGAATATGATGTGACCTGTCCATCCATCCCTGCTACCATCTTCAGAAGGCATCCTTTGTGACCAACGTGGGAAAGGCAACATTGCTTTTGAATAATGTATTGTTTAGTATAATCATCTAATTTTTGCACTGCATGGTTTCCCTTTAGTCTAGGGCTCTACTCTTGAGAGACGTAGTACGTTGGTGTTTACGCAAATGGCTTTCAGGCTGGTACAATAACAATTTTTTAAAAATTTTATGATAGTTTCTGCACAAAATGAACTCCATGTGAATTAGTGATACAACCCCCACCCTATATATGAAATTCTTGAGTGCCGTCATACAACACGCATTTACCTAAGAGAAGCCACTTAAAAGAGCTTCTATGCCCTACTCCCAACCAGGGCCTTTGGCTGAACAAGTTCGGGGGCACCACTCACACAGACTGCCACTCCCAAGATGAGACACTGTGCCCACTGCAGCCCTGTGAATGATGCCCACTGGGCTTGGGCAGCACTGCCATGCGGGTTTCAAACCCATACAGAAAACAAACTGTATCTGACGTGGCAGCATGCTTGCGATCGCTATTGTCACAGACGTTAAGTTCTTCCAAAAAATTGGGAAGGCTAATTTATAAGCATTTGTGATTGACCTGTTGACTCTGCTGCTGTAATAAAGGAAAGCTGAGGTGTAATCCAGAAAAACAACTTGTACTATAAACAGAATTTGCTGACTGTAGGCCTTCCAAGCACTGATCATAGAAAACTTAGGAACCTGCACAGACTCATAACCTCAGTGTCATCATGTTTACTTACCATTAAGAAGCAGTGCTCAGCTACTGGGTATTTACCCCAAAGATACAAATGTAGGGGCACGTGCACCTGAATGTTTATAGCAGCAATGTCCATAATAGCCAAACTATGGAAAGAACCTAGATGTCCATCAAAAGATGAACGGATAAAGAAGATGTGGTACATATGTACAATGGAATACTATGCTGCCATCAACCCCCCCCAAAATCTTGCCATTTGCAACAACATGGATGGAACTAGAGGGTATTATGCTAAGCAAAAGAAATCAATCAGAGAAAGACAATTATCCTATGATCTCACTGATACGAGGAATTTGAGAGGCAAGGCGGGGCATCGTGGGGGTAATAGAGGGAAAAATGAAACAAATTACATCTGGGAGGGAGACAAACCATAAGAGACTCTTAACCTCAGGAAACAAACTGAGGGTTGCTGGAGGGGAGTGGGCTGGGGGGAGGGATGGGGTGGCTGGGTGATGGACATTGGGGAGGGTATGGGCTATGGTGAGTGCTGTGCATTGTGTAAGCCTGATGATTCACAGATCTGTACCCCTGAAACAAATAATACGTTATATGTTAATTAAAAAAAAAAAAAAGCTCTGGGGGGAGAAAAAAGGATAAGTGCTCGGATAGTTCCCGAAGGAAGGAAGAAGAATGAGTTTCCAAAGAGAACTTACATCTAAAGTTTTCATGTCTTGGATTTTCAAGTTTGTCAGTCCAATCATGTTTAATTTGAAAAAAACATACTAGAAGCATTCCCTGTCCAATCCACTCTCCACACTTCTACCAGCGGGTTTTCAAAGCTTTAACTGCAAGTCACTGATTTTTAGGATGATTATTTCATTACGAAGCCCTTGTCTAATGACTGGTATTTTTAGGTGTCTGTGGAATCCAAACTTGTACAAGAAATCGGCAGGGCTCCCCTGGGAAAGAGATGGCTGTGATGGGTATTTTCAGTGTTTGCACCTTCCACCACTTCCAGATTCTAGTCCCAAAATTCACCATGAATTTGGATTTTGAGGACTTAAAGAACAAAGATAAACTTTATATCCAAATAGAGCTGAAAGCTGACTTGTCTCCTTTTCCACACCTTCGCATCTTTCCAAAGCAAAAGCAGATACCTAAAAGCACCGCTTGTCAACAGGACGCTTAGACTTGTAAGATCTCTTTAATCCCGCAAATCCGACCACTGTCAGAATGGAGAGCACATGCCCACATTTTAGCATTTTGGACAGAAACTCTCGTGGGCTTCTTTGGATTATTTCTTCTCGTGTGTGGAGAATGCTGGCCGAGGGGGAATTCTGCAAGAACTGAGGTAACGGGGTGAGTTGGGAGATAGAATGCGGGGTATATAACGTTAACATTCTCCGGCAAATTTAAAAGCCAACTTCAACCCCATTAGCAGTTCTTTCTCTGAGGGTCAGCTTTCCTCCCGGGAAATTCCAACTACAACAACTCAACAAGTATTAGTCTGATTTAAATGATCATTCGGGATGGATGGACGAGGAGTACTTACTTAGCTGTTAAGCAAATATTTCATTCTTTTTACACCTTAAAAAAATTGTTTTTGTAATGGAAACTGGTTGACAAAAGTTGTTTTCAAAAATTCAACCAGTATAGAAAAGTGATAAAAGGTTTTACATTAAAAAAAAAAAAAAGGAGGGGGGTCCCATTTCAGTATGTCAGACATTTTTACTAGGTTTTTCACTAAAAAACATTCTTTAGAATATGGATGTAAAGACCGAAATCTAGACCTTTTTTAAAATTTATGACATAGGCATTAAATATGAGAGTTCAAATATTTTAATAATATTTGGTTAGACTTCAAAACTCTATTTTCAAACGGTAAGCTACAAGAAAGTAAATAGTCTTACCTTAAGAAAACAAAATAAGCCCCATAACTATGGTATTTAAATCCCTCCAGAGTTTTAGCACTGTCACTGAAAAGACACTTTCAAATAGAATTTGAATTGTGTTAAGTTTCTAAATTGTTTTTTTCTGAAGTACCTTAATGCTTGCAGAAGAAAGGAAGGAAATCAAAGGAAGAAAAGAAAAGAAAGGAGGAAGAGAGATAAGGAAAAAGGAAGACAGGCAGGAAATAACCTAATTTTCTGAAATACTAGTCTAAAATATGGAACTGTTGCTAAACAAAGCTTTAAATCATTACTACCGTGCCCTAAACCAGTGGCTGGCAAAGTTTTTCTGGAATCAGTAAGAAAGTAACTATTTTACTTTGTGAGCCATATGATCTCCCAGCTGCAAGTACTCAGTTCTGTAGCCAAAGACAATATGTAAACGATTAGGCAAGGCTGTGTTCCAATAAAACTTTATTTATAAGCACAAGCAGTGGGTCACACGTAGCCTGCAGCCATAGTTTGCCAAACGCTGCCCTAGACTCAGGTTTATGCAGTGCCCCTGCCATCTGGGGTTGAACAAAGAGTCATCAGTGTCACAAAGATGAAAAAAGTTAAGTTCGCTCGTCTCAGTCTATCTGACAATAAGGTCTTGAGATGTAAGTTCACTTACCATAAAAGCTAGCAAAGCAGTTGTTCTTTTAAGTACAAGTGACCTATGAATTTCTCTGCAAAGTATTCCAACTTAGTGATATTATAATCAGCTGCTCAACAATTTACTATTTTATTTTGCTATTTTTCACAATTCACTGTTACATACTGGTCCTGTGTTCTTTCCATTCTCTATTTTATAGCCCAGTAATGGGAGAGATGTAACCAACTTTGGAAAAGTGATGTGATCTCTCATGAAGCCACATGAAAATAGAGGGAGTTTAAAAGCTACTGGGACGTTTGATGTCAGAAGTGGCTAACCAGGTATAAGGCTGTGAGAAGGGTCTTTCTTCACAAGGGCATTCCATCTGGGAATCTGTCTCCTTAGATGGCTCTCACCTGGGACTCTGCTTATGTTACCACTGAAAGGAAAAGGGTTTACCTGGAAGTTAACAAAGAAAGACCATCAGACAGTGAAGAATATTCAGAGATAATGTTAGAAAATTCAAGGCAATTTATAGATTGCGAAGGTGAGTCCATGTTCTTAAACGGTATGCATAATTTTGAAACATGTTAATTAGAAAATAGAAGAAGGAGAAAAAAAAATCACTGGGAGAGAACTATAAAGTTCCGTTGACACAAAAGGAAAAGTGGGGACACTCAACACAGTAGATGAATATTTAGTTTAGAAGCAGTCCTTCTGCCCACCCCCCATGGATGGGGTGCATTTTCCTACATCTCAACCTTGAGTTCAGCCAAGTTTGCTATGGCCAATGAAACGGTAGTGGGTATGGTGTGACCTAAGGGCTGAAGAAAGCTTGGACAACTGGGCCTGTTCTCTTGTGCCTCTGTTGTCCAGAACAGGCCTCTGCTTGTCTCCTTTTCCAAAGAGGAGGGGGGATGGGTGCAGCAGAGGCCCCTAGAAGGTCCAGCCTGAGTCAGCTGACTCCTGGGGAGCCCCCAGATACCTGAGCTAAATAAATGTTCATTGCGGTATGCCACTGATGCTCTGTGATTGTTACCTAGCATCTCAGTAGCAAGAGCTAACGGCTACAGCCTCTAGCTTCTACTGACCAAGGTCACTTCTAGGTTGAATGGAACCTGTGTCACGGGTTCATTTTTAATGCAGCCATAAGTAGAGTCCCAGCCAAGCTGGCCAACTGGGGGCAAGGTAATGTGTTTTATCTGACTTGCATGTTACTGGCATCCATGTGTTAAAATGTACACGCACACACAACACAGACACACAACGGCCAAAAGTGAAGGAAGTCTATAGATTTCACATAAAACTGAAAGTCCAGATTCTCTTGAAAAGGTAAGAGATTTGCAACTCTGGCAGGCTTCTACATTTTTGGATGGGGAGGGGTCAATGCCCTGGAGCTGAGTAGTGGAAGGCCTCTCTGGCCAGAGGGCATTCAGCTCTGAGCTCTCACCGTCCCTAACGTCTTCCGGCGCTGGAGGCACCCAATGCCATTTGTGCAGCAGCTGGCCTGTTCTTTTCATAATATTTAAGAGAAAAGGAAACATCTGAACTGATTTATCCAATATCAGATGATAAAAACTCATCAAGCCATGACTCCAGCAGACAAGGCCTGTTTATTTTTGACATTACTGTCTTTTTAGCGTAGTCCCTTGGGACCCAAATTGTCTGACCTTTTCCCATGAATCCTGATGTTCATGTATTTCAAGAAGAGTATGGGGAGGTTGAACAGAACCTTGCTAGTTTTTGCTAGAATTCTGCACGGATTCTGCTTAAATGTCTTCTTCTCGGTGCCGATTTAAAAAGGACTGCCGTAACACCCGAAGACAGCAGATTACTTTTGAAGGAACAGGGGTGCCTCGGCTTTGAATGACAGAACTACGAAAAGTTTCTGGCGTGTTTTGGCCAAGAATTTTTTTTCTATTACATTTAAATGAGAGAAATGGTCCGCGTGACGTCTTGCAGCGAAGGAACACGCCCCTATCTGGAAAGCGCTATGTTCTTTTCCCGTTACCTGGGAAACACGTGGTCAGGTGCTCCATCAGCGCCTCTTGGGTGACAGGTTTCCTGGCGGAGTTCATTGCCGAGATGGCCAAGCAAAGGATCTCCCCGAGGGGGATAAACTGAGATTGACTGATGGGAGACATGCTGATTGGTGACACATCACCTGCAGAGAGACAATTTTCAAGTAAGCAGTTCATTCAAGGCCTTTCGTCCCACACACACACCTGCACACACACACATGCCCCTCCTGGGATTCTTCCCTGTTCCCTTTATCAGGAACGGGATCCACTCTGAACGCCGAAGTCTGTTACGGCCACGGCCAATGCCATGCAGGTGGAAGGACGGCTGCAGAGCAGCAGACGCTCCAGCGGCCTCGACTACTAGAACCCGCCCTGCAAACCCGAGATCTCCCTGCCGCAGGCTTAACTACTGAAAGGCGTACAACACGAAACTGAAAAAGGATCTCCGATTTTATTAACTTGGGGCTGGCTTATGTCTAACTGCCATTCCCATCTCGACTAACGCACTTGCTGAAAACCCGGGAGATTCATTCGATCCGATGCGGAGTGCTCTTTCCGTGTCAGGCATCTGCTGGGGGCTTGGGGTTTACTTGGGAGAGGGAGTCATCTCCCCTCCCCCGGAAACACCTCTGCTCTCAAGGAGCTTCTATGTAAGCGGAGGAGACAGACAAGTAGACCGAAGTTCACAGTTCACCGGAGAAGGTGAACAACGGAGGGCTGGGGCTGAGAGGGCGGGCTGGGGGTGCAGCAGCCCCTTGGGGGGAAGCAGTGGGGGGGGGGGGGGCGGGGCTTAGAAGCAGGAAGTGGGTGGTCTCCCCGTGGATGTGTGGCCTGAATCCAGGGATAGCGTAGGAGTGTGCCTGGTGGCTGGGGGGTGTGGGGGATGGTAGGACCGGTCAGCAGATGTTTTCTGGGGAGTAGCAAAGAAGGGGCACAGGTGTGCAGGGACAGGCATGAGTGAACAGCTGAGTGCCCAGGGCCTTCATCCTATGAGGGATGCTGAGCCAACGAAGGCATTTCAGGAATGACAAAGTCGGATGTGAATTTCAGCGACAGCGGGGACTGGAGGGAGCCGCAGAGAGCAGGTCGCACATGGGACCGCGGCTGCCTACACATGTCTGCAACTAAAGGAGCCAGTGGAGGCTGGGGGCAGGCTGAAGACCCCACAGCAGGGGTAGACACTCCCGGAGACTCAGCATGCCGTGTGTCTGTCTTCCTTTCTGTCATCATCATGTCACGGTGGGGTGTTTTGCAAATTTTGTTCCAAGGACTCCTAGAATTCCCTGGAAAGACTTCTGAAATGCGGAGAGTGGAGGTAGGGGGGCCCAGCAGAGGGAGAGGCTGGCAGAGCAGGGAAGTCTGACCTTGACACCTGGGTACCACCTGTGTCAGACATGGGAGCTTTGTAAGGTTTCACTGGAGAAAAGGCCCTACAGAAAGAGGGGGAAGTTTCAGCAGAGCAAGTTTCTGTGGGCTTTGGAGCTTACTTCCCACACGTATTTATGTAATCTCTCCTTTTTTTGTTTTCCTAAGCATGATTTCTCTCTCCAGTAAACTACCGTGGCTGGCCAGATCCCAGAGTCGGGTCCACCTGTGGCCCAAGCAGCATGGCTATCGGGGACCAGCCTCCTCTCTGTCGAGGCATGGAAAGCTGTGCCCAGCCACGATCCCTGGTTTGCTGGGGGCCCAGAGGCCCTTGGAGAAAGAACCTGAATGTGCTTCGATAGACTAGATGGGAAAAGGTTTGATGGACAAAACCAGGCCAAAGGGGCCTGGCAATGAAAACCACCAGGGGAGGGTTAAGCCTAACAGGCTCGTGAATGAAGCCCAAGGTCAAAGGTGGGAGCCCCACACCTCCCACGAAACCCAGCTCAGTTCAGTGCTTTTCTCTCTCCTGCCTCACTCAGGCCTCCATTCTCTGCAAGATGGGGGTGAGAAGAGCAAATTTTCCCAGTGGTCGGTGGGGCGGGGGGTTGGCAGTGTTGGACCAAAACCCAGCACAAGAGAAGAACACTGAAAGACAGGAACTGACCTCACTGAGAACCCATGAACTTGGGGGGCCTGCGGGATAGAAACACCATAAAGAGGGGCCTCTTGCAAACATCTGGTGGGGGAGCAGCGGGTAGAAATAAGAACACGGAATTGTGCCTGTCCCTGGGGATCTGAGTTTCTTTCACTGGCTGGGAAAGCTCCGCTCATCCTGGTGACTCAAAAATGACGGCTTTGTGTGGGCTGGGACCATCTCAGTGGGCAAGTGTGCTACCACCTAGAACACTGTGTATCTTTTTAAACCCGTTGTGCCCTCAATTAAAACAAAACCTCATGCTAAAGCCTCCTGTGTGACAGACGGACCAGGGGTGGCTGCGAGGTGTGGTGGAGGAGGGAGTTTGGAGTTCCAGATCTTTTCTGGAAATCCTTCTCTCTCCCTCCACCTTCTCCAGGAGAGGGTGGGGATGCCGAGGCTGGGTTCCTGATGAATTGGCAGGTTAGCCGCGTGGACCTCAAAGTCACTTGGGGTGATTTGTAAAATGAGATGAAAAGGCCACGGGAGAGATCAAAGCAGACTCCAGCCCCTTTGGACCTGCGTACCGTTCGGAAGCTGAACACTTTCGGAGATTTGCCTACCATGATTTAGGACTTCTCAGAAGACCAGGGATACAAAACCACTAAGTGGGATGCTTTTTTTAAGTGCAGGTCTACTTTAGAATTGTGTATAGGTTCCAGGAAACTCGCTCTCTCTGTGGAAAGCGAGGACAGTCAGCAAAACTAAACACTGTTTAGGTCAGGCTTGTCCTTCTGCTTTGGGCAGAAATTATGCGTTGAGTCGAACTGCCATCTTCTCCGTCCGTTTCTTCACGTTCGTCGCTGCCAACTACAAGAGCCGGCATGCTTCGAGTGTGTCTGAACTTCATTTGTTTTGGAAAAGCTCAGTTTTGCTCTAATGATGACTCTGTGCCCTAACTTTTAACTCAGGCTATAGAACAGAATGGAATTTGGATGCTCTAAGGGACTCTCTCATCCTCTCGTTTTTATACCGCACTAGGATAAATTATTTCCCACTCGCTTCCGGTCTCCAACCCCATCAGCAATCCTCATCCACACTGTGCCCAAATGCTCCGGGGTGGGCTCCTCCACTCTGACTCCAGTGTTACCCCTCCCCCAAAGCACCTCCCCACCCCCCGCCGGGCCCCTGCCCACTGGACTGGCTTGATGACTGTCAGCTTTCCCTTCTCCACAGAGCAGCCATGTCCCAGAAAAACTGGAAACTCACCACCTCCCTGCACAAAGTCCTCGGGCGACAGCCCACTGCACCCAGAAAGAGAGCAGAACGGTTTACCAGGTCTGCAGTAGCCCACGGGGTCTGGGTCTGGGCCTGTCCAGCTTCCTCTAGGACCAACACCCTACTGCTCCCCACCCCCTCCCTCTTCCACACTCACAACTTCCTCTGTTCTTTGAATGGGACAAGCTTTTTCTCAACTCGGGCCTCTGCATCTGTTGAACTTCTAGAAGGCTCCTTGCACAGACCTTTGCTCCTTCTCCTTTGAGTCTCGGTTTAATCAGGGAGCCCTGTCCTGACCACCTGATCCAATGCTGTTCCCACCTGCAGGGGACACTCTCTTATATTACCTGAGTATGATACATGACATACAAAAAAAATACGTATCTGGTCTTTATCCCCATTTCCTGCACAGGGTCCCCTAAAGCCTGCAGCGTTTCCCAAGTGATGAGAGAGATAAGGTGTCTTGTGTTATGTCGATAAGGTGATTTTTGGACCTGAAGTGGAGGGGGCAGGGGGTGGGGTGCAGGAGAACTCACCCTGTGGTTGCAGGGTCAGAATTTGCAGTCCTCCTCCCCAACCTCTGGGAAGGGGAGAGGGGCTGGACAGGTTGAATCAGTCACCAATGGCCCATGACTTAGTTGATTGTTTCTGTAATGAAGCCTCCACAAAAACCCAAAGGATGGGGTTCAGAGAGCTTCCGGGTTGGTGGACACATGGGTATTTGGGGAAGAGTGGTGCGCCCAGAGAGCAGGGAAGCTCTGAGCACCTTCCCTGTACTTAACCCTACTACACAGCTCTTCCCTGTGGCCGTTCCTGAGTTATATCCTTGGATAATAAACTGGCACTCTCATCAGTAGAACGTTTCTCTGAGTTCTACAAGCTGCTCTAGCAAGTTCCTTGAGTCTGAGGAGGGGTCATGGAAACCTCTGCTATGGAGCCAGTCTGTTCAGAAGCGCAGGGGACAACGTGGGCTTTCCATTGGTTTGGAACGGGGGGCAGTCTTCTAGGAGTGAGCCAACTCATAGCTACTTTGCAGCTAACAAATGTTTTCTGAGGCGCTGTAATTCATATTGTTCTAAAAAGAAAGAGTAAATAGATTTATATCAGCTTTATTTTCTTACAAACTTCCATTTAAGTATAGTCCTCAGGGAACATTTGTCAAATCCAAAATAATTCAAATAAAACCTGTGGGATCTGATGCTCTCTCCAGGTAGACGGTATCCGAAATCAGCCCAGTTGTAGGCTGGTGTTAGAAAAGTGCTTGGGGGGCGCCTGGGTGGCTCAGAGGGTTAAAGCCTCTGCCTTCGGCTCAGGTCATGATCTCAGGGTCCTGGGATCGAGCCCTGACTCAGGCTCTCTGCTCAGCAGGGAGCCTGCTTCCTTCTCTCTCTCTCTCTGCCTACTTGTGATCTCTGTCAATTAAATAAATAAAATCTTTAAAAAAAAAAAGAAAGAAAGAAAAGAAAAGTGCATGGTGGTGTAGAAAAACTACACACACCCCTGACTTGGCACCAGAATCTAAGCAAATTACTGTCTTCACTCTCTGAATGTGTGTGTGTGTGCAAGTGTGTGTGTGTACTGGTTTACCCCCACCCCTCTCCCCCCACCACAACTATAAGCTCTGCCAAAGAAGAACACAGAACCGCTATATTCCAACTATATTCCCAGGCCCTAGAGTCAGGCAGAGGTTACACCAGACACTCAGTAAATGTTTGTTGAATGAAAGTATGAATGAATGACTCTCCATTCATAACATTGTAATCCCAGGAATTTCCCAGGGTATTTTAAGGATTGTGACTTTGCTCACATATTTTTTCTAAATAATTGCAAAACAAACAAAATAACAAGAGACCAAATACACCC